CAGCGTGGCATTAAAAGAGTGCATTTATAGCAATGCGCCTTTTTCGCTGTTTAAGTAGTCATTGTACTGAAAAAACATATAATTTTTCTCCAGAAATCACTGAGGATGTTGATACTGGGCTAGCTGCTAGGCCAAAAGTGGACAGTCCCGAAATTTCAGGTCAAAAAAATCTGAGAAGCGCATATTTCCTTTCAGGTATTGTGGATAGAAGATTTCACCAAATTTAGCTTACATGACCCAGCAGCACGACACTAAAAGAGCGTATTCATAAGCATACGCTTGTTCTGCGGTCTGGATAGTTATTGTACTGAAAAATAGATTTCATTCAGCTACTGGGCTTAGTGTTAGGTCAGAAATATTGACATGTACTAAGACGGGGTGGTAGGAGGGCTAAAGAACCTACCGAAGTAACTCCTCAAAAACCAGACAGTCGACCTGGACATCAACCATCCCCGAGATGTAGTAAGCGGGGACGATGTTGTGGGTAAGGGCATGTAGCAGCCAGAAAGTCTTCTCCTCAATCTCCTCCGCGGGACCGTCCAGGACTAGGAGGATTGTCGCAGCGACGTAGTTGAGGCCCTGGAAGAGGAACGAAAAAATAACACTTGGGGATTATGTGTGCCTGCTACCTGTCAACATGTTCCATTTGGACGGCTTCATGTCTCGAACAGAAAACAGGCCTAGCACAAGCATAGAAGCAATTCCAGTCTCCACCGCACTCTCTTCTGCTTGAAGTTAGACACAGTTCTCGAGAGGAAAAAGATGGCCGAGGAATGAAGTGTATAAAGTGGAATTTACAACATGAAATTTTACGCATTCTCGAGCATGCAAAGGACTATGTGAGACAGAACAGAGGGATACTATATCTGGTAAGTAAGGCTCATATGACTGCCTAAACAGCACGCGGGAATAGGACTGCGTAACCCACTTAGGATAAAGTTCAGGGAGGCTAAATATCACCGGGTCATAACCCTGACATAAAGCTAGACTGTAACCTTAATCCTAATCCCACTTTAAACCAAAACTCCTACAGTTAACACGAAACCAAACCTTAACTCATAGCATAATCCGGAACCTAGCCCAAATTCTGACGTTACTGGATAAGGGAAGTAAGTTGCATTCCGGGATGATATGATGAAAAGAAAGAAGATCTTCGGAAAATCAAGTTGTACTCGTGAATTTTCGAACAGGTATAACTTGTTCGTCGTCGTCAGACTAAATGAAAAGTGAGGGCTGGGAATGTCGCACTAGAGGTTTAGGGGGCAGAGGTTACAGCGAACGGGGTGGGATTGGGTGGTAGGGTTGTGGTGACGTGATTCCTGCGGCGATCA